GCCGCGGCCCGTGTCACGGGAGAGAAAATGGCCGCGTATCCTGTTCGTACCCCGAGGCGGAGTTCGCAAACCGTGGTAAATTTTTGCGGCCGGAGCTGGTTGTAACCTGAAAAGTTCGTTAACAGAGGCGTTCGTAACCCGAGGTTCCCCTGTATATTGTTAATTTGTTCTTAAAATAATTGTACAGTAAAAAACCCCTTTGAAACTATTTTAAGAACAAGAATATTGTTTTTTATTCCTGAGGAAAACGGAACATTTATACAAAGTTGGCAGTTATGTGTATATGTTCATTGAAAACATATAGTTCTTAAGGAGCAGGTATTACTCAAAGATATTATTAAGCCTAGTGGCTTTGAGATTTTACCTGGCCATTTTGACTGAATTTCATCTTTACATAAACACTATACAGAAAAGCTGATCTGAAGCTTTTCAAAATGTTCCCAGAATCTAACTTTGTTTAATGGGCTGCCACTTCTGTGTAAAATTGTATTTTATATTGTAAACATTAAAAAAATGATCAACTTGCACCAAACCTTCCAGTTCTGGCCATACCTTATGTATTATTCTTAGTGCTATTTAGTAAAGTTATAAATGCATTGTTTAGATTGAAAAAACTGACTCGAACACTTGAATTTCTTGAATTATGTGCTTTCTTTCAGAGTTTGAAAGAATTAAACTAATCTAAGTATACTGTTGTATCTTGAACCTTTTGCACAGAATTCCTCCATGTAAGGGTATTGGTGAGGAAACCCAGAAGACTCTGGATCGTTCTCTTCTTGATTGTACTTTCCGACTGCAAGGTAGAAATAACCGCACATGGGTGGCTGAACTGGTGTTTGCAAATTGCCCGCTTACCAGCACTTCTTCCAGGGAACAAGGTTAATTTCTCAATTGTCCTGCATATTGTCCATTCCCCTTATACTCTTTGAGTATCAAATTGGCCTCTCCCTTTCATTTTGTAGGACCAACTCGTCATGTTTATCTGACATATGAAAACCAGTTGTCTGAACCAGTTGGTGGCCGAAAAGTAGTTGAGATGTTCCTAAATGACTGGAATAGTATTGCCCAATTATATGAATGTGTGTTGGAGTTTGCCCGATCTTTACCAGGTATATAATGTCATTGTGTTTTATTCTAATATTGATATAGGAAAGAAATAGGCCACTTTCATTTGACCTGTTGGTATATTTAGAATGAGAGTGTGTTGTGGGCACTCACACAAATTAGCTGCCATGAGGGGGCTAATATATTCATAGAATAACTGCCATAGGAGATATGGCCAGTCATAAATCCTTGATTTATCAAAAGACAGCCTAGTATACTTTTAGCCCCTTGAAAATCTCTTTAACAATCTAGGTTACCTTAGTTGTTTTTATGAGAAGCAGATATGGACACACTTCCAAATAAAGCACCACACTATAGTGACTAACTGTTTTTATTTTCTGAGAATGCCTTTGGAGTCCTTGTGAGTCCTGGAGGTGTCCTTAGAAATAAGGATTGTATTAGAAGCTGTTAGTTGTAGCAGGAAGCAGCACCTGTTCGTTCCTTTTCTGAACTTGGAAGCTAAACATGATCAAGCCTGGTTAATACTTAAATGGGATGTCCAAGGAATCTCTGAGGTATAGGCTAGACTAGGAAGGTGAAAAAACATCCCAGAAGGTGGCAAAGGTAAACAACATCTGTACTGCTACCAAGAAAACTAAATGAATGTGCCTTTGAAGTCATCGGGAATCTGACTGAACTTGATGGGAATTATAACTTTTAGGGACTAATGCTTTGTTTTAAATTAAAAGAAACTAAATATCATTTAAGGGGCATCTGAAATTTATTGTTTTTCAGGATTCATTTCATTCAGGCTTTCAGATAGGGTATGGTTATTAAATTGTTTTGATCATTACTGTTCAAAACCTAGGTCATTATCCTGCATGCTTGGAGATTGAGATTCAGATGTTTCAGATGGGATTACGCATTTCAAAAGCCTGGGAATACTCCTTGATCCTCAGGTCTCAGTGGAATCACAGGTGGCAAAAATTATGCAAAGGTGTTCTGGTGAAGAACACCTTTGCATAATTATCACAGCTGCAACACATCCTGACTTGATCAGATTTGGTAGTGGTTACCCACCCTGTGGTTGCTGCAGTGCACTTCACATGAGAAGTGCCTGGAGTTGTAATTGATGCAGAATGCAGCAGCTGGGTAGTGAACTGAGCTGAAAGATCTGCTCCATTTTAAAATTGCTTACTGAGCACAATTTCAGGAGTTGGTACTGACCCTTAAAGCCATCAGTGGCATAGGATCTAACTATTTAAGGGTTCTCTTCTTCCTTTATGAACCTATCCAGTTCTTAATAGGACCTTATGAAAATGTTCCTGCTGTCAGAAGCCTTTCTTCTGGCATTTTGAAGAGGGCTGTTTTTTCCTTTGCTCCTGATCTATGGCACACATTCTCTTAGGAGATGCATTTGGCTCTCACTCTTTCACTGTTTAGAAAATTTGTATAAATGTGTCTTTTTCACCAGGCTTTTAATTATTGTTAAATGATTTTAGGGGCTTATTTGATTATTACTTTTAATCTGTATTTTTAATTTCTTGCATTAGATTTTTGTTTTAAAAATATGTTAGTTCCCTTAAATGTTTACCAAATTAGAAAGACAACCAACTAAAGTCAGGTGAGGAAGGAAGTTGCTGGAAGCCAAAGGAAGTGTTTTTAGAAACATTACTGTCCAGGAGCAGTAGAAGGTCTACTAAATTTAATACTTTCTCTTTTCTTAAAATATTTTCTATCTCCCCCCATCTTCTTTTACATTGTTAAGAAATACCAAGCCATCTAAATGTTTTCTCAGAAGTTCGGATCTACAATTATAGAAAGCTAATTCTTTGCTATGGAACTACCAAGGGAAGTTCTGTAAGTATCTTTGAGCTTTCTCTCAAAGCCATGTTAATATACTTATTGTCTTAATGTATGGTGTCTCTTGTTTTAAAATGCAGTCTTATCTAGGTATTAAGCTGCTACTATCCATGCTAACTTGCATGTTCAGTACTATGATCTTGTCTATACTGTAGTGATAATTCTGTTTCATCTTTTTTTTCCCCTTAGCTTATAATTAGAAGTTTTCTCAAAATAACTTTTGATGATAGCTAGTTATGCATGTTCAACTAGAACCTCCAATCTTCTTCTCCACTGAATTTCCCTTAAAAAATGAATTCTTGAAGTTCAGGGGATTCTAAAATAAAGGTGTGGGTTATGAAAATGACCAGTCAGAAAAGAAAGGGCAGAAGCAGATTATAGTTTGTGTGTTCATAAATGAACTTCAGTCTCTACCCTCATTTTACATATTCATATTTATTTATTTCATGCCATAGGTTATCTTTTAATCAAATCTGAAAACTGATGTGCAACAGACCAGGATATAGCTTACCAAGTGACTATGTGAAGCATGGGAGGAAAGGAGTTTAATGCTCATCTCTGTAGCTCCATAATGACTTTCCATAACTTCAGGGATACCTCAGAGCCTCTGATACATTAGGATCTTTTTCTTTCTGGTGTTTTCCAAAAGATATGGCATGATGTACTTAAAACTTTTTGTGTGTAAAATAGTTCAATTTTCTCTTAAGTATAGGAACTAGGTGTTGACACATTCAGGGTATCCAGTACATTCCTAGTAATCAAGTAGCAAATGATGTAACAAATCAGAGGCAGGATTGCAAAGAGTAGAAATACAGCATCAGATATTTTCTTGGCTTGGTTATATTCAGCTTTAAATAAACATGGAAACATTATTTTACTCTCTAATTTAAGCTAGGGAAGGACATGGTCTCTAGAAGAGACAGTTGGTCTCCTGTCCCTTTCCTCTCTGTACAGAGTGAGAAAAACTGAACTGTAGTGCCCAAATGTTTCCCAACTGGGATCCCTTCAGCTTGAGTGAAAGAAGTTGTGTTTTCCTTTCTGCAACTCTGGTTTTCTTGGTGTGTTCAGCACATAAAGACTAGGATCACCACCACCTCAGCAGAAACACATAGTGTTGACTGAGTCATAGTGTTTCATTTAGTCCAGTCTTGTCCAGTTTGACTGGCAGTAGTTCTCCAGGATCACAGGTAAGCATCTTTATCAGGTGAGATCCTTTTTGTATCAGAGATTGAGCTCAGGGTCATCTCTGTACAAAATATATAGTTCTGTTCTGAGCTGTGGTTCTTCCATTGGCTGCATGCAGTTAAGTGTTTGCTATATAGAAAATACCTTACTTGGAATATAGAAAATACCTTACTTGGAATATAGAAAATAGATATGTTTCTGTTTCTTTATTGACTTTCTCTACCCACACACACACACCGAGCAGTCGCTTCTTGGCTATCATTGCATAATTTTATGAAGCTTTCTGTATTTATAGATCAGCATTCAGTGGAACTCTGCACACCAGAAATTCCACATATCTCTTGGAACTGTTGGACCAAACTCAGGTTGCAGCAACTGTCACAATACTATTCTGCATCAGCTCCAGGAGATGTTCAATAAATCACCAAATGTTGTCCAACTATTACAGGTAACTTTTTTCTCAAAAGAGAATTTTGCATTTCAGATAGGGAAAGCACTGAAAGGATTATTCTTTTGCACAAGAGATCATAATGCTTTATATGGGAATGCAGCAGGAACAATCTTACCAGCAACTATATTTCTATATTTAATTTGTTCTTATGCTCTTACCACTAAAGTAATGCCATTTCTTCATTTGGTTGTTGTGAATAGAAGAAGATAATTCAGTATAAAAGCAATTGATCATGTTCTTTATTTCTGAAGAGTCGATATACTGTACCCGCCTAACTGTTACATGGTTATAACAAAACAACTGTTGTTTTTATTTGCAGGTTTTATATGATACTCAGGCTCCATTAAATGCTATCAATAAACTTCCAACTGTGCCAATGCTAGGACTGACACAGCGTACTAACACTGCTTACCAGTGTTTCTCAATTCTGCCTCAGTCGCCCACACACATCAGGCTGGCCTTTAGGAATATGTATTGCATAGACATTTATTGCCAGAGCCGTGGAGTGGTGGCAATTCGTGATGGAGCATATAGTCTTTTTGACAACAGTAAAATTGTGGAAGGCTTTTATCCTGCACCAGGACTGAAGGTGAGAGTTCTTTGTTTATTTATTCTATAGTATAATTAGAAGATTGGTTGGGATCATTAATGTTTCAGAAATCTTCTGTAAGTGGTGAAATTCTTTGGAAGGTTCTTTCAAATACATGTATAACGTTTAAGCTTCTAATACATCCAGTGGTAAGGATATCAGTCACTCTGTTCTGTCTTTTTAGAACACAATGTATTGAATGTACTGAATGGATATTGGGCAATATAGTATCCTATCATTACCTTTTAGTCTTTGGCACTTCAAAATTGTGTTCTGGCTTTTTGGAATTGTTGTTGCAGTAGATTATAGTTCACAATTTAAACATTCTGGTAACAGGATTAGACAAGACAGCTGCCAGAGATTTTAAAGAAATGCTTCCAGGCACAGCACAAGGTTGAGTAGATGAGTCTGTGATTAGAATGTTTTATTAATCATTTTAGTAAAACTTTGTTTTTAAAAATGTAAGCAAATGTGAGTTGCGATAGTGCAGCTAATATTGTCACAAACTTTTCAGTAACCTGGGCTAAGTACTATTTTTGAAATGATAGAGTGAATTTATTTCAGTGAATCTTCATAATTGAAAAAGATTGCTGATGTTCTGGTGGTGAAAATCAACAATTAGACTAATAAGTCATTTCTGATCATTTGTAACACAGAATTCACCAGTATTATGTATTCACCTTTGGAGGCCTAGCAAGAAATTGTTTTAGATATCTGAAATATTGATAATTTAGAACTGTGGCATATTGCTATTAAGATTGTTGTGTCTGAAAGATGTAATGAGAATGTATTCTCATAAATCTGAATACTCTGAATTCACAGACTTTCCTGAACATGTTCGTTGACAGCAATCAGGATGCAAGAAGACGATCTGTCAATGAAGATGATAATCCACCATCTCCTATTGGTGGGGATATGATGGATTCACTGATATCACAACTTCAGCCACAGCAGCAGGTAGCATACGTGCATGCATAAATTTAGTATCTCAGACTAAATACTGTTAAATCATTTGGGGCAAATGTCTATTCTTAGTCTAATCTGGTAAGATAGTACAAATGGAGAAGCAATAAGGGGAAAACCCTAGCTTGGTAACTGAAGATACACTTTTCAAACAAAAGTTCAGAAGTTTGATATCTAGCATTCCCAAGAGGATATATTAGATTTCTGTCTGAAATCCTGGAGAAATGATATTGAGTGTACAGTCGTGT